CCTGGCCCGCGCCACACCGGTGTGCCGCAAGACATTGTCAGGTGTGCCGCGGGAAAATATTCAATTTGTATGCCTGTGCAGTCTATCGCCCAGAAATTAATCGTGTAGTACCCTCCCATACCGCTAGGGAGCAGCAACAGCTAGACAATTGCCTTGTGTTTCCACGAGAGACAAGTGAATTTGTGACGCATGAATGCAGGATGATGATGAAACAATAAATATGAAAAATGAGAAAATATTTTTTTCTTTGTGTTCATTTGATTCCAATTCAAGCTGTTATAATGTCATTCGTCAATGCTACAAACGGTTATAGTAACAATATAACAGATTAATTATTCAAATAAGCGTTTTTTTTTCTTCTTCACATTTTCAGCTAGTGGTGTGCCGCGAGATTTTTCCAATGAAAGAAGTGTGCCTTGGCTCAAAAAAGTTTGAAAAACACTGCCCTAGGTTAATGTTTTCACACACGACACTCTCAAAGCCTCCAAGAGTCTCGATGCTTATGTGGTGTGTGGACATGTTCACTCGCTTCTTTTTCATCAAGCTGCTGAAACTGACTTTTGTTTCCTGAAAGCCGATGTCTTGCCTCGTCAAAGACAGGGACAAAAGTCTCCCGAGTTATCATGCATGGGTATGTGTGAGTAAGAATACTGGTTCCATACTAACAGCTAACTGCACATGCACGACAGGGTAAGTACCGGTTAGTGTCTTCAAATTTCAGTTATGGACAATCTAATTCAATTATCAAACTAATAAATGCTCAGAGGATCATTTCGCAAATAACCATGCAGTAGGCGTTAACTGTACTTAACAATTGTGTGTGACGAATGATAATGAGTTTTTTTGTGACAGTTTGACGTAACATGTAAGAGTGGTTGAAGTTTAAAGAGATGTAAGATGAATCAGAACTTTAATATAGATTCGACATATTTACACCTCTGTCTGAATAAAATCACAAATAATGTTCAACCGTTTTCTATTCAGTTTGAATGATTAGTCTTTTTGTTTCAGCCTTGGTTCATTTTGCAAAGGCAATAAAATTCAGCATTATTAAAATGATTCAGTTGTTCAATGTTCTCCATTCTACAGCAGTTATATTTCTGCATGCAAAGTAAAATGTTTCAAAAATAGCTAAAATTATGTTTATAGTCTAGCATTGTCAGGCGCATAGAATAGAAACCACAATAGTGGCTGCGCTTGTGTTATGGATCCACTAGATAGAGCTATGCTAAACTAATACAATCCAGCATTGTTGATACAGAGCACTGGCTGCGGTTGTGTGATGCATTCAGGATATATTAGCTGAAAAGAGATTGCAATAGCAATATCCTAATTCAACCAAATGTGATTAATAATACACACATATGAAACAGGCACCCATACTCAACATGTTAAATGTAGCACGTTTCAAATGCTTTTATTCATAATTATACATTTGATTTCGTCTTTAGGGATAACCGAGGAACACATAAACTTGCTGAGATCAATTACATCAAAATCTGCAGTTTTCACAAGCATTTATTCACACGAGGACTCCACAGACAGAAACACTGCTTCAGAGTGCGAGGACTGTCTTCCTGAGCCAGTTACAACTTTGGATTAAGAATCACCATATGATCTCACACCTGAAGAATTCTCAGCGAATGTTGATCAGACATTGCTCTGTTGTGATGGAGGCAGCTGCACAATCAACAGGTACAGGTTGATCCTCTGTAAAATAAATCGTATGTCATACATGTATAATAAATTTTTACCTGTGGGCTTTTTTTGTTTTGTTTTGTTGTTACCAAATGAGTGGACATTATTTTTCAGACGACTTACCAGTTTCTTGTAAATGAAGGCTCACTAAACTCTGTTCAGCTGTAATAGTATCTTCATGGTCTGCCTCCCTGGTGACCTTTGTCTGTTGTCGCCTATTAATGCTTTGATATCTGCAGAAAAAAAAATATGCTTGTGTGTGTTTATAAACTCATGCGTCTATACAAGTTTTTCAATTTGGTGTTCATACATCAGTCTGTAAAGTATTTTTCTTGTAATAAATTAATATTTAAGACAAACTATAATTCTGCTGGGTTTTACAGTTTTACCTTGCAAGTTTTGAGTGTCCACCAGGTGAAACAGCTGCTGCATATGGAAATACAGATGGAACGAAATCTGGACTACCATGTTCCAGGGATGCTTCTCCTGTAAAATTTAAAAATTACATTTAAGGATTTAAATGATAAATATGAAGTGAGAAAAAAATATACACACACACAAACACATCTGTGTGTGTTGTGAAGCATGTTTTTATCATATATGTTTGTGTTTAACATGTGCATGAAGCATTGAAGAGTTACTTCACACACAAATTGTAAACACGTTTGACTGTAAAGATTACATGTCAACTGCTTCACTCATGCTGCACTTCATTATTTTCACTCATTTGTTACTTTCACTAATTGAACATTCTGGGATTTCACAACATAGAATATAATTTGCCGTGGTAGATCTAATTCCAAAGTACTTACCAGATATGAAGTGAGCACTGCAAAGATGAACATTCTTAATTGCCTCCTCAGTCCAATTCTCACGTTGTAAAGCTTGTAACCATAACTTTCGCCGATTTTTCTGAGAGGGTGGTTTACCAGCAGGATTTCTACAAAAGACTAGTTCTCTGTGTGTGCTCTTTCTATTCTGACATTCCACGGCACAGCATGAGGACGGCATTATTCACACGATTTTGTTCAGTTAATCGTGTGTTTTCTGCCTCCAAGATGCGCGCGCAGCCACACTTAATGTATGCATACGTCATGTGAAACTGATCTATACAATACAGCTTTCTTTATATCGAGCCTTCACACCCGCTGGAGCTCTAACAAAGCGCTTTACAGTACTCCTACTAAAATACTACATCCAAGAAATCGGAATATCGATCCATATGTAGCTCCCTCGCGATGTAGCATGAAACACGACACGAAGTCCCTAAACACAAATGCATTATAAAACAATAAATGAAAGACAAAAGTTATGAAGACAATCAATTCAACGAAAAGGCAAACAAAACTCATGGGCTCACATCCATTAAGGGGCTAAATATCCGTCGTCTTGCTTGTCTCCTTCCTTCGTTTGCTTTTGGTATTATCTTCTGCCCACAAAGTAGTTGTCTGAGCGTGTGTTGGCGAATGCCCATGTCAGTTCGTGGCGGGCAGAACACTTAGATGTCACAATTCGTTCCTGCTAATAATCACCACGAGATGGTATAGGATTACTAAGGGAAACAACTCAATGGGGAATATATCTTTCCGTGTAATGTAATTTATGGACTTTATGTGTATTGGCCCGCATTTAATTAATTCGGCATTGTCGGCCTCACTGTGTTTTTCTTTTTCATCATGCTTCAAATGAAGCATGATGAAATAAAATGGACAATATTCCTG